GGTCACGCAGGGCAGGCACGAACACCTGGGTCCAGTCTAGAAAACCATGTGTATATATATATATGTACATGTATATATATATATATGTGTACATGTATATATATATACATATATATATATATATGTGTGTGTGTGCGTTCATTCGCACATGCACGCATGTGTCAGAATGCAGCTTTTGTCTTGCTGAGGGCTTCTGTGGTATCGAACCGAGGCCACGATGACTACATTCCGCGATCTTTGGCCTTGCTCCGTAAGGGTGGCCGATTCCTCGAGATCGGCAAGCGTGGAATCTGGTCCCATGAGCAGTTTCTCGGATGGATGTTGAACTGCATCCGACAAGCCCCAAAGCACTGACCACTGGTGCAGTGTCTTTCATGTCTGCTGACCTCAGGATGTTCCAAGCTCGTGGCTTTGCTGAACTGTGTTGGGCGGGTAGATAGGAGGATGCAGACACAAGTTGTGTGATGCAAAATGACGAACTGATCCGTAACGCCATGCTGAGGCCCGGATGTCATGTATGAGAAGATTGCTGCGGATACCATGATGGAAAAGGACTCGTGCAGAGAGCTGTGCTGTCTTCGCTAACAGGAGTGATGCTGTCACTTCTTGATTCCTGAAGGAGCCATGGAGGTACAATGCGTACCTGAAGAGGCTCTTGCAGCGTGTGGACGACGGAGGGCTGAGTCCCATCAACATGTTCCTTGTTGCAGACTTGGTTTCTACTCTGGCTCATGACGGTGTTTACTGACACTAGTACAGCCGGACTGCTGCTGTTCTGCTGCTGCAACTACTGCTATCACCACTACATACCCTCCGCTACGGCCAATAAGAAGCAAGCAAGGCACATCTTTGATGGCATGGAGAAGGGCGTCGCGGCATTGCAGTTCCTGCAGAGGGCCAACAACATCGGAAAAGTCGTCATCAGCTCGCCGAGTCGCCTCTTGACTGGGTTCAGGTTCAATTTGCGATATTCAGGGCCTTGCAGCAGTGCTGCTACCAGTATTATGATTATGATGTTCTACTACTGACGGTTCAGCGTTTGCATTGTGACTACTGTTGTTGCGTAACCTCTTGTAGTATTAATGTTGTCTTCCGTTGGTTGTAGCATTCAGTCGCGGCTTCTATGCATATTATTGTCATGTTTTTGATGCCTGGTATTGCTTTTGTTTGGCATGGTTGGGCTATGGTGCAGCGCCCATGTTTTGCTGTCTCTTGATTTTGCCGCCGACTCAGGCTTGCTCTGCACTGCGGAGCAAATGCCAGTCCTGTCTGGCGGCCTTGGTGCGTTGGGAGTGGTCACAGCACAGTTCCTGGTCGAGGAAGGTGCCAAAGCTCTGTGCCTGCTGTCGCGCAACGGCCAGCCAGCTAAGGCCGGGGTTGGCACAGCTTGCAACAGTGCAAGTGATTGCAGTTGAGCCGGCAGCATATTGCTAATCACGGAAATTACGGGAACTGCATGAAGTAAGCTCGAAACCGTGAGAACATGAATACATTCACGCAGCAAGCATAGTACAGAAATTTGTGGTGGTGGTGGTGGTGGTGGTAGTAGTGGTAGTCGTGGTAGCAGCACTGCAGCTGCCGTGACGACGGCGACTGCTACTGCTACGGCAACTTCTACGGCTGCCACTGACACTGCCACTGCCGTTGCCACTGCCAACCACTACCACTACCACTACCACGACGACTACTGCTACTGCTACTGTTAATGCTACCGCTACTGCTACTGCTACCGCTACAACAACAACAACAGCTACTTCAACTCCTACTACTACTCCTACTACTACTCCTACTACCTACTACCTACTACCCATTACCGACTACCGACTACCTACTACCTACTACCCACTACCCATTGCCTACTACCTACTACCTACTACCTACTGCCTACTGCCTACTACTGCCTACTACTACTTACTACTACTTACTACTACGTACTACTACGTACTACTACTTACTACTACTTACTACTGCTTACTACTGCTGACTACTGCTTACTACTACTTACTACTACTTTCTACTACTTACTACTCCTACTCCTACTCCTACTGCTACTCCTACTCCTAGCACTACTACTACTACTACTGCTGCTGCTGCTACTACTACTACTACTACTACTACTGCTGCTACTACTACTACTACCACCACCACTACTACTCCTGCTGCTGCTGCTGCCACTATGCTGCTGCTGCTGCTACTGCTATTATTTAGGGTTACGGTTTGGGGTTTAAGGTTTTAGCGTTTCAGGTGTTCTTGCCAGAAACAGCCACAGCCGCTAATGCTGCGATGACACCAGTCGCATGCTACTAGTGCTCACAGAATAATGAGAGAACAGAGACTTGTAGCGAAGACAACACCATTTCTGAGACGCGAAGCTTATGCACGGTGCAGAACTGCAATGAATTCCAAACAGCACCCTAAACCCTGAACCATAAACCGCAGCATCTCTCCTACCAGGATGTTGGACCCCAGTGGTCGTGGCTCCAGAAATCTGCTGTGCAGCTCCGCATCGAGAAATGTGACGCTGGAGACTCTGCCGCAGTGTGATAATATATAATATATTGTATATTATATATTTTTTATATATTATGGATTATAGATTATAGATTATATATTGTCTATTATATGTTATATTATATTATGTTGTATTGGAGGGGAGTTTCTGAATCAGGCTGTTCCTATTTCGACCCTACACAGGGGGATCCTCGTTGTACAGACCCCAGCCCCAAGCCCCCTTTCAAACAAATGGGCACAGTGGCGCAGGTAACCTGTCTGGTCTACCTTTCTACTTCCCTCCGCTGCCATACAGCAGGAAAGAAGGAGTCCGTGACGGCCTTGCGTGATGCGCTGGCAGGAGGGCTCGTGCTGTCGGCTTTTTTCTTCTTGAAGCTGCAGCAGTCTTGACCCTGCGCGTTTTTCTGTCAATCTTCTGAGCATTCCTCCTGCAGTCTTTCGATCTTACTACCGTTCGTTGTCGTTGTCGTCGTTGCTCTTGCCCTTGAGTCGGTTGCCATATCATCTTACAATCTTACTTGCAGTGTGCCATCGCACTAGACCTGATCTCCGAGATGTGCAAGTGGGGGGTGTATCTTGGTTTGCCTCATGTTGTAAAGTTGGCCCTGGCAGGAAGCACTCTGGGAGGTCTGCTGCACCTTGCTGGGGTGCTGGCAGATGGGGTCCTGCCAAGTCTCAACCGCGAGAGCTTGGATAGATCCTACGGCCCCAAGGTGGGCAATCGCAACAACGTAAGACGAACGAAAGATCTGAAGGCAAGCTTGGCTGATGATCTCGAGGTGCATGGCCTCTTCAACTTGTGCCGCATCCTGGATTTCCACAGAGCGGCGCCTCACTTGCTGTTCTCTTCCACCTCGGCACTCTTCGGATCACCAGGTCTGAGTCCTAATATTCTCGGCCTTCTCTGCCTACCTACACAAGTCTCTGTACTGATTGTGAGAGCTGTGACATGTACCAGGCCAGGCAAACTATTCGGCCTCAAATTCGGTGCTTGACGCCTTGGCGCCCTTCCTGAGTTCGCAGGACAGTGCTAGTGGCCATGCAAGTTGGAGGAAGTGTCGGAGCGTCATCACGCGATGTCAGGACCCGGATGGAGGCGACTTCCTCTGGCGAAATGCCCGGTCGGTCCAGTGGGGACCCTGGGCCGAGGTTGGCATGGCGGTGCAGGCAAACACGCTGGGACGCGCAAAGTCCATGGGCCTCTCCGCTGCATGAAACAGCCCTTAAAAGAGGACGGAGCTCCGACCCCTAGCATCAAAAAACCCATGCCTATGTTCAGAAGAACCTGCGAAGCGAGGTGTCGGTGCGTTGACCAATGCCCAGGGGCTCGCCATCATGAGCAGCCTCTTGGCCCAAGTGGATCTGTCTGCTCTGCGTTGTCCCATTCAAGGGTTACGAATTTCGCCTTCTTCTCCGCTTTGTTCTCTCATGTTGTCTTTTGTTTCAGTCGCTGTGGCATAAGGTATCCTCAGCAGCTCCAACCTCTTGGTTGGTGCCGTGCCGGTGCGTTGGGGCAAGTATCTGAAGACGCTCGCACGCTTTACGAAGTCATCCCAACTCGACTCTACGGCGCGCCGCGTCATGTCCTCTGTCCGTTGAAAGGAGCGCCTACCCGCAAGTGCCCAGCTTCCTCAAGGACTTCGAAGCCGAAGCCAAGAAGGAGGCGCTGAGATTTGCATGATCTGTGTAGGTGTAATGAGGGGTACAGGATGCAAAGTAACTAAACCCCTAAACCCTACCCATCAAGCCTAAACCCCAGACGAGTCAAAGCACGAAACAAAACCCTTAGCCCTTAATCCTGAACAACGAACTCCTGAGAAGCGAAGTCTCAAATAATGAATGATCAACAATATTTTTCCTTAGGGTTCCTGTTTTTGTCTACTATAAAATACCCCCCAATGCCCCTATTCTGCTTACAAAGGCCTCTATAATGTAACAGCCCTGAAACGAACCTTTTTCTAATTATGAAGCGCCCTGCGCTAAAACCCTGACCCCTTTTGTAGAAACCCTTCTAGCACCCTTGAAGGAACCCTTATAGTAACCCTCATCGATCCCTAAACCTAAAACCTCATAGGTCCCCTTAAAGGGAACCCTACTTGCAGGCAGCCGAGGCTCGCGCAGCCAAGGGCGCCCCCGGCGACGGAGCCTTGGGGGCCCTGAGCGGACTCAGCGGCCCGGAGCGCCTGGCGGCGGCTAAGCAGAAAGGGCGTAGGGGTTTAGGGCTTAGGGTTTAGGGGTTTAGGGTTTAGGGTTTAGGGGTTTAGGGTTTAGGGGTTTAGGGTTTAGGGTTTAGGGGTTTAGGGTTTAGGGTTTCCCCCCAAGAAGGGGTACCAGAAAGGGCTCCCAAAAAGGGTCCTGTAAGAAAGGGTTCCCCCAAAAGGGGCCTACAAAGAAGGCTTTTGTAAGAAAGGATTCCCCAAAAGAGTGTACATACCAAAAAGGGTTATGACATAGGGAGACTCTAGGT